CCCGCCCCCGGCTGGGCGCATGCCGAGAGCCGCCACGCGCAGACCCGGGCCACGCCCTCCCGCGCGGGTACGAGCGAGGCCACGCCTCCCACTAGGGAAGTGGCCACGCCCCCTGCCGGCAACCCCGCCCCTCACGACGTGTACGCGGAAAGCCTTGGAAGGAGGACCGGCCTGCGGGCCTCGCCCCCTGCCAACCCCGCCCTCCGTGACGTAAAAGCAAGGGCCACGCCCCCGCTACCTCACGGTGGTTGCGCGCGCAGCGGCGTTGGCTCTCCGTTCCTACCCGCCTGGTTCCCGCCCTCCCGGCGCGTCCTCCGCCCGCCTCCCGCCCGAAGCCGAGTCGGGAGGACTAATTGCTCGCTGATCGTCGTTCCGCTGGCCTGATGTCCGACTTTCCCCGAGAAGGCTGGCAGATGGCGGAACCTGGCCTCGGTTCCCCACCTGTAAACTAGTTTGGGGCGGGCACAGCACGCCACATGGAATAACGCGAACTTTTTTTTTTTTGGAGAGGTTTTTGCTATAGGGCGCGTGCGCTCGCCAGAGACAAGACAGAAAGCGAGAAATCACCCGCCAGGGTGGATGACCACGCCGCAATCCCTTCTCCATTCTCCTCCCAGGATCTTGGGCAGGCATGCACACGCTCCCGGCGTGTGTTTAAGCCACCGGGTCCGGGACGCGAACCGTAGTCCACTACGTGGGAGTCCAGCGACATTGACATTATGCTAACTACTGGTCCCAGAATAACGCGAACTTAAAAAAAAAAAAGATTTAAAAGGTTTTGGGCCCAGCGAGCAGTGTGGTGGTTGAGGCGTTGGACTCCTACGCTTGAGACTCAAGGTAGGTGCGCGTGCCCAAAGCCTCAGAAGAATGAAGAAGGGATGGAGGCATGGCCATCCCTCCTGGGGACGGTGATTTTTCGCCTTCTGTCAGCAAGCACACGTGCTCTATAGCAAAAATCTCTCTAAAAAAAAGCGTAATGGCTATGTCGCTGGACTCCCACATAGTCGACTGCGGTTCGCGTCCTGGACCCGGTGGCGTAAAACTCATGCCAGGCGCGTGTGCGTACATTTTTTCTCATGCCAGGCGCGTGTGCGTACATGCCCAAGATCCCGAGAGGAGAACTGAGAAGGGATTGTGGCGTGACCATCCCCCCCGGGGGGTGATTTCTGTCTCTATGTCTCTGTCTGGCGAGCGCACGCGCCCTATAGTGAAAACGCTCAAAAAAAAAAAAAAAGTTTTTAAAAGTTGCCAGAAGGTGTGAGTGCTTGCTGGAGGGACAGAGCGTGAGCAGGAAAGTGAGAAGTCACCCCCAGTGAGTGCTTGCTGGAGGGACAGAGCGTGAGCGGGAGAGTGAGAAGTCACCCCCAGAGGATGGTGGCCATACAATTCCTTCTCCAGTCTCCTCTTGGGTGTGCACCCTGCGTGACCCTAGAGCGTGACCCTAGAGCGAGCAGTCAAGCCACTCAGCAGGCCAGGTGGGACTCTAACCTGAACCTCCCCACCACCAGCTGGCCCCGTCACTACTTTTTCCTGCCATCCTAGGTACCAAATAAATGTATAGCACCTCTCACTATCCAGCCCGTCCCTGCACACCACGGCCCCTCCCCATCCACTAACCATCCCTCAGTAGGTACTGCGAGGATGGCGCAGGGGCAGGTAAGGAATTAGAACTGCAGTGAGCCTGCCCTTACTCTGAACCCACCCAGGTCTCTTCCAGACCTCGCTTCTGCCAGTTCAAACTTGGGAGCCCAGCACCCTGGTTCCTGTCACCTCCCTAACAGGCTGCCTGACCTCCTCTGGTTCCCACAATTCTGCCCACACAAGAGCCCCTATTCCTATACCGTGTAGTCTTCCTGCCCCTCAATTCCCTGTCTGGTAGCTGCCACTGAGGAGGATCTTCACTGGTCATGGTGCAACGCCTACATTTCTGCATCACGTGGGGATTCTGGACACATGTGCACACCTGCCTGGCATGTTCTTCAAGCTGGCAGGGCCAGGATTTGAACCATGCATGTGACCATGTGGAACCCAGCTGCCCTAACCACCGGGACACAGGGCCAGCCAGCTTCCTCTTAACTGATGCTTCCAGTGCCTAAAACTGACCCTGTGCACAGTACATGCTCCCAAAGGAGCTGCGGGATGGGTGACACCTGCCATCAGCCCACTGTCTGACCCAGGAAGCTCGACTGCCCTTATCAACTTCAATCCTCGCATAGCGGAGACCCTGAGGCTGTCAGGTGACTGGCCCAGCCCCAGAACAGCCAGTGCACAATGTTATTCTGAAACCATCTCTACCATCCACACCAGCATGGTAGCCTAAGAAGTCCCTGACCTGCCTGCTGAATCAGATTTGGGAGCCAGTGTTGATGAAGACCCGTGAAGTCCACTGCCTCCCCACTTCCCACACTCCAGCATAGGCCTGGCTTGTATTCGAATTATTGTCCTGTTTGGTTTTAGTTTTTATTAAATAAAAGGAGCAGAGGAAGAGGGGGGCCTATGGTCTCTCGGGCTGTGGGGAGAGCCACAGGCCCTCCCCTCCCTCTGTTCAGGGTGCGTTGTGCGCAGGGCGCGTGTGCGTACATGCCCAAGATCCCGAGAGGAGAACTGAGAAGGGATTGTGGCGTGACCATCCCCCCCGGGGGGTGATTTCTGTCTCTATGTCTCTGTCTGGCGAGCGCACGCGCCCTATAGTGAAAACGCTCAAAAAAAAAAAAAAAGTTTTTAAAAGTTGCCAGAAGGTGTGAGTGCTTGCTGGAGGGACAGAGCGTGAGCAGGAAAGTGAGAAGTCACCCCCAGATGGTGGCCATACAATTCCTTCTCCAGTCTCCTCTTGGGTGTGCACCCTGCGTGACCCTAGAGCGTGACCCTAGAGCGAGCAGTCAAGCCACTCAGCAGGCCAGGTGGGACTCTAACCTGAACCTCCCCACCACCAGCTGGCCCCGTCACTACTTTTTCCTGCCATCCTAGGTACCAAATAAATGTATAGCACCTCTCACTATCCAGCCCGTCCCTGCACACCACGGCCCCTCCCCATCCACTAACCATCCCTCAGTAGGTACTGCGAGGATGGCGCAGGGGCAGGTAAGGAATTAGAACTGCAGTGAGCCTGCCCTTACTCTGAACCCACCCAGGTCTCTTCCAGACCTCGCTGCTCCCTCACTATCCAGCCCGTCCCTGCACACCACGGCCCCTCCCCATCCACTAACCATCCCTCAGTAGGTACTGCGAGGATGGCGCAGGGGCAGGTAAGGAATTAGAACTGCAGTGAGCCTGCCCTTACTCTGAACCCACCCAGGTCTCTTCCAGACCTCGCTTCTGCCAGTTCAAACTTGGGAGCCCAGCACCCTGGTTCCTGTCACCTCCCTAACAGGCTGCCTGACCTCCTCTGGCTCCCACCACCTGGCATGTTCTTCAAGCTGGCAGGGCCAGGATTTGAACCATGCATGTGACCATGTGGAACCCAGCTGCCCTAACCACCGGGACACAGGGCCAGCCAGCTTCCTCTTAACTGATGCTTCCAGTGCCTAAAACTGACCCTGTGCACAGTACATGCTCCCAATGGAGCTGCAGGATGGGTGACACCTGCCATCGGCCCATTGTCTGACCCAGGAAGCTCGACTGCCCTTATCAACTTCAATCCTCGCATAGCGGAGACCCTGAGGCTGTCAGGTGACTGGCCCAGCCCCAGAACAGCCAGTGCACAATGTTATTCTGAAACCATCTCTACCATCCACACCAGCATGGTAGCCTAAGAAGTCCCTGACCTGCCTGCTGAATCAGATTTGGGAGCCAGTGTTGATGAAGACCCGTGAAGTCCACTGCCTCCCCACTTCCCACACTCCAGCATAGGCCTGGCTTGTATTCGAATTATTGTCCTGTTTGGTTTTAGTTTTTATTAAATAAAAGGAGCAGAGGAAGAGGGGGGCCTATGGTCTCTCGGGCTGTGGGGAGAGCCACAGGCCCTCCCCTCCCTCTGTTCAAGGTGCGTTGTGCGCAGGCTTGAGGTGTAAGCTGGGCAGGGAGGGCAGCGGGGTCAGGTCAGAGGTCGGGACCTGTGATCTATCCACTCCTCCTGGAAGACTAGGTGGGCAGGGAGGGAGCCTCCTGGACCCCCACCAGGCTCACCCGAAGGGTGAGGGGTTGGCAGGGCTGGGGCCTGTGCTCCAGGTCACAAGGTTGGCCCACAGGCCCCATGTCGGCCGTTCCCACCACAGGAGGGCAGGACGATGGCGGCTGTCTGTCAGAAGGCAGTCAGGCAAGGCTGTGGGCAGGTGGCCAGCCCTCACTCGTGGACATCCCAGATCTCAGACAGCAAAGGCGGCAGCTTCTTGTCCTGGAGCCGCAGGGCAAAGACCTGCTCCGAGTGCACGGAGCTCAGTGTGCGCAGGCTCACGAGCTTCATCAGCATGCGCGGGAAGCGCAGCTGGTCCTGTGGGCGATGGGGAAGTGGGCGCTGGCTGACCCTGCCCTGCGAGGCCCAGTCAGCCCACCCAGACCTAAAGGGCACCGCCCCCCAGGCGGAAGCAGGAGGGCCAGCCCTGTCCTGCCCTGGGCCTGGCCCGTGGGTGAGATGAGCCTGAGAGCAGCCTCAGCTGAGAGGGCAGCAGCTGGGACTCGGCGTGAGCAGACAGCCTGGGCTCAGAGGAGGGCTGGCCTGTACCTGTGGCCTCTTGATGCGTGTGTAGGACAGCAGCGCGTCCACGTAGGGCTGCTGCAGCGCCTCCACACGGCTGGGCTCCTGCACGTTGGGCCGGTCGGCCGAGAAGATGTTGATGGCGATGAGCAGGGCATACTCGGCGTCGTCCAGGCCCAGCCGCCGCATGGCCCGCGAGAACTCGAAGATGGGGTTGATGAACTCCACCTGCAGGCCTGCAAGGTGCAAGGTAAGCCAATGACCTCGGCCCAGCCAGCCTCCATACCCGGTTCCCAGTGCCCACGGTCATGGCCGAGGAGCCCAGAGTGATGGCAGCACAGTAATGACAGCTTCCAGGCACCTCTGCTTCTGGGGCCTGCAAGTGGCCAGGTCCCACACTCCATGGGAGGACAGCGACAGCTCAACCTCTCAGGCCATCCCACCACCGCCCTCACTTCCTGCCAGCCCAGGGCAGCACTGCCTCCCTGGTTCCCCAGTGTCTGTCCTGTCCCTGTCGCAAAGGCAGAGGGAAGTCACGTAGGGATCCGGCAAGTGGTGTGGTGGTTAAGGGTGCTGGACACCCACGTGGCCGACCATGGTTCGAGTTCCGGACCTGGCGGCTTGCTTTCTGTTTCCCTTTCTCCCCTCCCCCCATCCCTCTCTGATAAAATTAAATCGTGAAATTTTAAAAATTTTTAAAGAGAAGGTTGGTTCACGTCGTCAGTCCCGGTATGGCTCCCACAGCCGTCAGGGAAGTCCAAACTCGTCCCCAAGATTGACTCATGCACCCTCAGACTTGACTGTGCCCCTACTACGTGCCAGGCCCCCAGTCAGGGCAGTCTGGGGATTGAGGGGACACACACACTGGCCCATTGGATGCTGATGGGTCTAGGGAATAAGGTGGCACCCAGGACCCCTGCGAGTCACACGTGTTTTTCACAAGCAGGCAGGGAATGCCTCTCTGTGGGGTGACCTGAGGAACGAGGTGAGGAGGCGAGTCACAGGGCTGTGTGTTCTGGGTGGGGTTACCAGCATGTTCTGCCAGGGACTTGAGAGGCTACCTGGAAACTCAGTGAAAACTGGGAGAGCCTCAAATAAACCAGGATGAGGCAGCCACCTACTTTCAGGCAGAGGAACTTGGGCACAGCCAAGGCTGGAGACGGACAGGTTCAAATATCAGAGAGGAGGCCAAAGCGGGTGAATGAGGGAGGTGGAGGGCAGAGGAGAGGAGGGCAGCAGGGAGGCGGCCAGGTCCTGAAGGGCTCGGGGACCTCTGCAAAGACGGGGGCTTTTCCCAGTGAGGCGAGCGCCATGGAAGGTTCTGGGTAGAGGAGGGCTGTGAGCGGACCTGGTGCTAGCCAGATCCCATGGAAGCAGGGAGCCCAGTGAGGGGAGTCAAGGACCCTGACCTCCTCTCTCCCTTCTCCCTGTGCTCCGGCTGCCTGGGCTTCCTTGTGATTCCTTAAATATCACCCAGCTCTTTCGCTCCTCAGAGCTCGTCCGTGATGGTCTGCTGCAGCGCCTCCACACGGCTGGGCTCCTGCACGTTGGGCCGGTCGGCCGAGAAGATGTTGATGGCGATGAGCAGGGCATACTCGGCGTCGTCCAGGCCCAGCCGCCGCATGGCCCGCGAGAACTCGAAGATGGGGTTGATGAACTCCACCTGCAGGCCTGCAAGGTGCAAGGTAAGCCAATGACCTCGGCCCAGCCAGCCTCCATACCCGGTTCCCAGTGCCCACGGTCATGGCCGAGGAGCCCAGAGTGATGGCAGCACAGTAATGACAGCTTCCAGGCACCTCTGCTTCTGGGGCCTGCAAGTGGCCAGGTCCCACACTCCATGGGAGGACAGCGACAGCTCAACCTCTCAGGCCATCCCACCACCGCCCTCACTTCCTGCCAGCCCAGGGCAGCACTGCCTCCCTGGTTCCCCAGTGTCTGTCCTGTCCCTGTCGCAAAGGCAGAGGGAAGTCACGTAGGGATCCGGCAAGTGGTGTGGTGGTTAAGGGTGCTGGACACCCACGTGGCCGACCATGGTTCGAGTTCCGGACCTGGCGGCTTGCTTTCTGTTTCCCTTTCTCCCCTCCCCCCATCCCTCTCTGATAAAATTAAATCGTGAAATTTTAAAAATTTTTAAAGAGAAGGTTGGTTCACGTCGTCAGTCCCGGTATGGCTCCCACAGCCGTCAGGGAAGTCCAAACTCGTCCCCAAGATTGACTCATGCACCCTCAGACTTGACTGTGCCCCTACTACGTGCCAGGCCCCCAGTCAGGGCAGTCTGGGGATTGAGGGGACACACACACTGGCCCATTGGATGCTGATGGGTCTAGGGAATAAGGTGGCACCCAGGACCCCTGCGAGTCACACGTGTTTTTCACAAGCAGGCAGGGAATGCCTCTCTGTGGGGTGACCTGAGGAACGAGGTGAGGAGGCGAGTCACAGGGCTGTGTGTTCTGGGTGGGGTTACCAGCATGTTCTGCCAGGGACTTGAGAGGCTACCTGGAAACTCAGTGAAAACTGGGAGAGCCTCAAATAAACCAGGATGAGGCAGCCACCTACTTTCAGGCAGAGGAACTTGGGCACAGCCAAGGCTGGAGACGGACAGGTTCAAATATCAGAGAGGAGGCCAAAGCGGGTGAATGAGGGAGGTGGAGGGCAGAGGAGAGGAGGGCAGCAGGGAGGCGGCCAGGTCCTGAAGGGCTCGGGGACCTCTGCAAAGACGGGGGCTTTTCCCAGTGAGGCGAGCGCCATGGAAGGTTCTGGGTAGAGGAGGGCTGTGAGCGGACCTGGTGCTAGCCAGATCCCATGGAAGCAGGGAGCCCAGTGAGGGGAGTCAAGGACCCTGACCTCCTCTCTCCCTTCTCCCTGTGCTCCGGCTGCCTGGGCTTCCTTGTGATTCCTTAAATATCACCCAGCTCTTTCGCTCCTCAGAGGCTTTGCACACACCAAACCACCCGCCCTGGAACCTCTCCCCGCCAAGTTCCTGCTAAGCTCATACTCAAAGGGCTACTGGACTGCCCTGGGTGGTGAGAAGATAGGACGAAGACGGGGTTAGGGTCAAATGTCCGGAGAGGTGCCCTGGGCAGATGACGGGAGGGTGGGACTTAGCGAGAAAGCCCAGAGGGTGAGGGTCCGAGGCCCTGAGCAGACTCCATGGCAGCCAGCGATGCTACCCCCAACCCTGTTCTGCAGCTGTCGCCCTCAGGCCTCAGCTCAACTGTATTCTCCCAGGAACCCATGGCCCAGTCACACTCAGGTCAGTGTTTCTGGAGGACAGGAACCAGGGCTGCACAGCTGGGTAAGTCACACACACTACCGCCGAGCTCCAGCCGGCATCCCTCGGGTAAGACCAGACACTCGCAGGGGGTGCCCCACCTGGTAGGTGCCCTAGGTGTCAGCAGACTCGTCTCAACCTCCAGCACACACTGCTGCAGAGCGGGCGCCCAGCAAACACGCTCTTACCCTGCTCGCAAGTGGGATCCCCCTCAGCCGCCTTTGGAGACAGAGTGGAGGCTGAGACAGGGAGCCTCCTTGCCCGCGGGACGCCAGCCCCAGCCCTGCCGGCCGGCCTACCTGCACGGTGGAAGTCGTCCTTGCTGTAGGTGAAGTCCTTCAGGAAGGTGATGCACTCGGTCTCGTGGTTGTAGCGTCTGGCGGTCTCCAGCAGCATAATCTGAGGACAGCACAGTGGGCGGGGTGAGGGCACCTGTGACCCTTTAGCTGCTGGCCCTGCCCCTCCTGCCCTGACTGAGGGCGTGATCCTACCAGGATCTACCCATCCCCTCAGCCACACAACGCCACGCAGTCGGCACATCAGACACCCCAGCACCCTGATTTCCAGCTCAGCACCATCAGCACCCAACTCGACACTCCTTCCCCAGGTGGTTCCAAGACACAGAAGCAAGAGATTCTGTGTGGTTAACGGCACATGCCAGACTTGGACTGGGGCCTAGTATACTGTAAGAGCTTGATACTCACTCTCCTTGTTTTGCTTCAAACATCAATTCCAAATGTTTTGGCTCAAACAACAAAGGCCATGAGAAAGAGTCACAAAGAAAGCCTCTTCAGCATATTCTCCTGAAAGTGGGCTCCTCCCGCCCAATCTTCAATTATTCTCAGCCTTGGGCCCTTTTTCCTTTCTCTCCCTGGCTCATGGGAAGCTCCACCTTGTTTATTATCTGGATTCTCCTGTGGAATGCCATCCCCACGAGGGAAGGACTGGCCATGGCTATCACTCTGCTCCCGGACTCTGTCCTAGAGCTCTCTCCTGAATTCCTTGGGGCAGAAGGGTAGGGCCTTGGGACCAGCAGATGGCATAATGGTCACGTTGCTGGACTCCTATATAGTTGACTGCACTCAAGGTCCCAGACCCATTGGCTTGAAAATCGCTAGGCTTAAGTTCATGCATGCCCAAGATCCCAAGAAGAGAATGGAGAAGGAACTGTTACGAGGCCATCCCCCGGAGGGTGATTTCTCGCTGTCTCTATTGAGCGCAGTTGCCCCACAGAAAAATCTCTTTCAGGTAAGGACTGCTGAGGATGGTGCCTGGCTGTTACCTCGATGGTAGACGCCTTCAGGAGGGCAATCTGGTCCTCACGGCCCAGCTGCAGGAAGCCAGGGACCTGCTTGGCAAAGTCCACAATCTCCTGGACGGAGATGATGGCCAGCTCCGTGAAGTGGGCGAAGCGCTGCTGGCGGGCATCACGGGACTGGGGGTCTGCGCCCAGGGGCCAGGGCTGGACACAGGACACCAGGGTTACTCCCAGGATGACACTAGTGAGCCCAAGGCCATGGAGCACCTTGAGGCAACGCATGCAGCCGTGGGGCCCCTGCTCTCAGAGCCGCCTTCCCCTGGAGCCTCATATCCTTCCCCACTCTAGACCATGGCCCCTGGCTCTACCCCGGGCCTGCCTCCCCCTCACGGCTGTGGAAGGGCTAGTACCGTGACTTTGGGCTGGTCCGAGAAGGAGCGCTTGTTGCACTGCAGCTGGGCCGCCACCAACTGCTGGATCATGAGTTCCTGGGCCGCCGTCAGCTGCACGCTCTCGCCTTCCCCGGGGCCCTGGCCACCCACCTCGGACCCTCCAGGGGAGGCCCCAGGCCCCGAGGCTGAGCTGCTGCCACCCCCAGGCCCCACGGGTGACGGTGACGGCTGCTGCTGCTGCTGCTTCTGGATCTTCTTCTTCCGAATCTGCTCTTCGGAGAGGACACCTGCCAGGGCACAGAGGCCTCAGCAGGAGCTCCAGGGCAGGTGGTGGGCAGGCCCACTCCCAGCACTCACACTGCTCCTTCATCCCCGCCTCCTTGCACTTGCGCAGCCGGCACTGCTGGCACTTGCGCCGCATGAAGGCGTCCATCTGGCAGGTTCCACCGCGCCGACAGGCGTAGCGTCCAGCTCCGCCCCGGACCACGCTGCGCCGGAAGAAGCCCTTGCAGCCTTCGCAGCTGAGCACGTTGTAATGGAAGCCGGAGGCCTTGTCCCCACACACGCGGCAAAGCTCGTGGCCCAGCATCTTCGGAGCCGGCCCCTTCTTTCGCTTGCGCTCTGGCTCCTCGGGTGGGTCTGGGAGGAATAGGGGGGCAGACCAAGGCCATGAGAGACAGCCACAGAGACTCCACAGCGCGAAGGGCAAGAGAATGGAGAGTGACAGGAAGGGACTTTTACCCCCAAGGAGATGACATTCAGAAGGCAAGACTTGTGTGTACCAGAGAACCTCAAAGAATGAATCAAAGTAAAAAGCATCAAAGAGAAACAGGAGGGCAAGCAGGCTACGTGGTGGTTAAGGTGCTGGCCTCCCACACAGTCGATTGCGGTTCGGGTCCCAGACCTAGTGGTGTGAAACTGATGCAGGTCACATGTGTATGCCTCCAAAACCCCAAGAAGAAAATGAAGGAAAAGGGACTGAGGTGTGGCTATCCCCAGGGGGTGGAGAGTGATCTCTCATTTTGTCTCTCTGGCGAATGCATGTGCCCTACAGCAAAAAGATAGAGGAAGAAAAGAATCCCACCTCCCTTCTCCTCAGAAACCTCCCCCATTGCCCCACACCAGCTCAGGATGCTGGCTCTGGGCCAGGCTCACCTGCGCTGCCGGCCGAGCCGGCCTCAGTGCCTGGGACGTCAGCATCTGCACCCCAGGACCACGGTTCAGGCCCCTCCTCTTTTACAGTGGGCGAGGCCGAGGGGGCACTGGGCTGAGGGGGAGCATGTCCTGAGAGAAGCAGAGGGGTACAGTGAGCTTTCCTGCCAGTTTGTCATGGGGCTGAGTGGAGAAGCGGGCCACTCACCAGGCAGGGGGTTGTCCAGGGAACTCGTGGTGGGAGAGGACATAGTGGGGTCACGGAGCAGCCTGCAGAATACAGGGGTTCTCAGAGCGTTGTGAAGTCAGAAGGCGGCATTGGACAAGTTACAGGTCCTGATGGGGGGGGTGCCCTCTTTCTTCCATCTCTTCCACATTCTTTTCCTACTGCAGACCCCACCCCCAGGCCTGGCACCAAAAGCATCCGGGTTCTGCCAGGGTGCCCTCCTACCCCAGGACAGTCTTCAGCTGGGTCTCAAGGCCCACCCTTCCACAGCTCCACCAGGTCCCACCCACCAGCTCTCCACGCCCTGCCCCTCCTCCCTTAATCTTCCTCTGCCCTCAAGTCCTCCCGCCCATCAAGTTCCATCCCACTTACTCTTACTAAGAGCCAGCCACACCTGCACCCAGAAGGAACCCCCATCTCTATTCTGATCCCTCCTCTCATTATGCCCCGCCCCCAGCTTGCCCTTCTAGGACCTGCCCCCATTGCGGGCAGTCCCAAAACCCTGCCCGGCCCACCCGTACCCTACCCTCCAAGCCCCGCCTCCATCTTCACTCCAGGTCCCGCGAGCTGCGAAGGGGGGAAAATGGGAGAAAAGAAGGGGCTGAGCGGAGCAGCGCGGGGAACGCCGGGAAGCCCCAGCCCGCAGCTCCTCCCGCGCCTCCCCACTCTCGGGTGACCTGCCTCCGTCCCCTCGCTCCGCTTCCCCTCCTCGTCCTCTGTCGCCCCCGACAA